TATGAGATCGGCCCTTAAGTGAGTGTTCAAGTTTGGTGGCTAGATACAGAAGATTGCGTCCTTGATTAGTTGCTTTATGGGACACATGAAAAGTTGATGCAATATGGCAGTTAGCAACAACGTACCTGCTATCTGCTGGCATTGGAAGCTTACTTGCCAACTTTGGATTGCACAGTAAGCGTCCAGAATTTGATGGCATCTGTTGGCTGATATAAAATCGATAGCCTCAATCCTTCAAACCAAATTTCAGAAGATTGATCTTTCGGGTCGATCACAGCTCGCGAAGGGCGAGTGTAACATTGTTGGACTCATCGATGGATTGTCATCCCCAAGCCAACGTGCGGTATACTAGTAGATGAATGATGTGGGCTCAGTGAAGTAGGACTCTGTATATTCGTATATCAGGAAACGTTTTAAGAGTCCCTGATACTCATAATAAATCATCGTGCTGTTGATCTAATGCTAGGAAATGTGTTTTGTTGATGTAACTTACATGATCATGTATACGGTGTTAATTGATGGCGTGAGACACGTGCACACGGTGCATGCACAGGCCAGCTAAGCTACAACGTGATGACGGAGCTCCCTTGAATGAATCGAGTCCCTGAACGTGGAGCTACATCTCCATTAGCATTTAGCGCCAAGACAACACATCTCAACAAGGACGACAATACACTCCATACACAATTGAATTATATACATTTAAGCCAACTGACACCTCATCATGGCCGACGCAGAAGAGAAGGCCCGCAAGGAGAAGATTGCTGCGGCCAAGAAGCGTGTTCGATTACCCCTCCCTTCTTATCCTGGCTGCTTTCGCTAACATTGCGACACAGGTCGAGCAGTTGAAGAAGAAGAACAATAAGAAGGCCACTCCAGCAGCAAAGCAAACAAAACCAGAACCAGCCGAAACCCCCGCGCCCGAGCCCGGCGCTGAAAAGGCTGAGGCCGCCCCAGCCAGCGAAGAGAAAGCCGTCGAGGAACCCAAGAAGAAGGCTCAAGAGAAGCCACCTGCTAAGGAACCCGCGCAGCCGCTTAAAGTGGACACCCAGGAGAGCAGCGATGAAGACGACGATAGCGATGAGGACAGCAGCAGTGACGAAGAGACCTCGGCTTCCGCTACCCCCTCTCTCGCCCAACAGTCGAAACTTAGATCTACATCATTTCGTGCCGGCGCCATTGCCTCAGGAGGTGCTGCGCCTGGTAGCCCTTTCAGTCCCGATGGTGAAACTGCTCCAGATATCTACAGAAAGCATATGGCCAGGATCGAGGAATTAGAAAAGGAGAACAAACGTCTATCTAAAGAGGCAGCAGACTCGGAGAAGCGATGGCAGAAGGCCGAAAACGAATTGGCCGACATACGAGAGGCCGATGGTGAAGATGCAGAAAAAGCAGGTGGACAAGAAGATGGGCTTTTGGATAGTTTGGTAGGTTATAATGCATGCAACCACAACCGCGCTCAATCCGCTAACTCTTCCATAGAAGAGCCAGGTTGCCTCACTTCAACGTCAAAACACCCAGCTCCAACAACAGGTATCGCGAGGACCTGGTCATGGCCACCGTCCGTCCATGTCTGTGGCCTCGCCTCCAGCAGATCTGAAAGCTGAGCTTGAGGCTAAGACCGCAACCATTGAGTCTATGGAAATTGAAATCTCGAAACTGAGAGCACAGGCAGAACGACACGCCAGTGGATCATCGTCCGACAAGGAACAGGTTACTGCTCTGGAGGACAAACTAGCTCGTGCTGAAGCTGCGGCGGGCAAGGCTCAGCGTGAACTACAGGATCTCAAGCATAACCTCGAGAGGACAGCTGAGAAGGCAGTCCGCGAAGGCAGCGAACGAACAAGTGCTGAGACCAAGATCAAGACTCTCGAGCATGAGCTCGAGGAGGTGAAGAGCGCTCGTGATGAGCTGGAGAAGAAAGTTGAGGCATTGGATAAGAAGGCGACAACCCTGACTACATTACATAAGGAGCAAGATTCTCGCTTACAGGCAATCAAGAAGGAGAAGGAGAAGACGGAACACGATGTCACAGAGTTGAGGGCACAGGTTGAGAAGCTTGAGAGCGAAAATGCAAAGCTCCGAAGCAGGAAGTCCATGGAGGGTGGCGGCGGATTAGATGATGAAGGTGTTGATGAACTTGAGGACGAGGAACGCCAGAAGCTTGAGAGAAAGATCCGAGCGCTGGAGAGCGAAGTGCATGAGCTTCGAAGTGGAGCATGGATTGAGAAACGCCGCGAACTGGAGGCAACTAGTCCAGGCTTCCATGATGTCGACCTCTCTCCTGGTCATGCGATGTCTCCGACCCAACGTAGGAAATCAGGACCTGGAGGAGGAATTGGTGATTTCTTTACGAGTGGCCTCAACGCTCTGGCCGGTGGTAATGATGATGATTTCCTTGAGGACGACGATATGGACTTTGACGAGGATGCATTCCGCAAGGCGCAAGAGGAGGAGTCAAAGAGACGGATCGAGCGGATCAAGGAGATTAAGAGATCACTTAAGCATTGGGAAGGTTGGAGGTTGGACATTGTTGAGAACAGAAGGGGAGGAAACGAAGGCGTTGGTGAAATCTTTGACGTTTGAGCTGATGCAGGATGTTTCCGGTGTTGCTGGGTGGACGATGCCCAAGTAAGGAATGTATATTAGAATAGAAAGAGATTCCGGGACGATGAACGGGATGGACATCGATGATTACTTCCAGCCACTGTGGCATACCTGTTTCCGGTTTTGTTTCCGAGACTTCATGAAATATGAGTTGGTCTCCTACCCTGAGCTTGATAAGCACCACAGAATGAAAGGGCAGCTCAGTGCTACCACAGCAACCATTGGTTTCGACTGAATGAGGTATTTAAATGCCTGTTCATTCCCTTGCTGTCGGAGGGCCCGTGAACTTTGATGATTCCCGCGGGACAAGTACGTATCCGACTCGAACAACGGAATCAGACACGCACAGCTGTCTTGAGGCATGTTGGAAATATGCTTACCCAGAGGCAATGATTGAGTTAGAACTATATTCGGAAGCTCGTAATCACAACATATCCCGACTCTCAAATCCGGCATCCAATGTCGGTATCTCATTCCTTTTGCTCGGACATCAACCGAATATCATCCCCCGATGACGGCGCGGAGAGTGGATACGATGACCGGAGATCCGAGTTGAAGAACGGAGATGCGCTCCGCGCCGAGATACAAGAGGCCGGGAGGTGTTATTCCCGGTAGAGTGTGCCAAAAGGGTTTATATAAATCAATCGATATGAAGCTCAAAGCATCATCATCCAACCTACATCAAATGGAAGATCTGAGGCTTGCATCGGACCCGCTTACTTCGGGCTCATGTTTCAAGGTCGACCACCTATAGCCGTATCAAAATGCAACAGAGAAGCTTTCCCGCACTCGGCGACAGTAACACCGAGATGAGACAAAAAACGAGAGCAGCTGTCATGCACGAGATGTAGCGCCTAATTTAAAGCCAAGCAGCCATAGCGTCCGGCGGTAGTCGTCGTCCCCCACTGAGCGGGGGACCAAGTGCGGAACCCATCGACACTAGTGTTAACCGTCGAGGCTGGGACTGGCTGGGCATTTTTTTTCTCTGCTTGCAGCTTTTGATGCGGTGCCCCAGCTCGGTCAGGTACCGAGCCTCGTCCCCAAAAGAACCTGGCAGGAAGAGAAAAGGAATACTCGAGACACACCCTGAGAGTTGGGGGGACGTAATTGAGGCTACGAGGGGTCTAAAGACTCTCGAAAATCATCGTGAGATGGTCAACTGAGGTCAAGTTGAGCTTCATGTTGGACAAGAACGTCATATGTAGACACTTTAGATAGGGAGACTCAACCCCTGTCATATCACAGCATGCGATTGTCTAAAACGATCATGTCAGCCACGTTTGATATCCCGCACCGCATCATCCGTCTTCGGCCTTGGACCCTACAAGGCTAAAAGGAAAAGAGAACAGTCCGTTGTCGGAAGAATTGGATTTGAAATGTTCCTTTGTCCTTCCTATTTCTCTCTCTCGATTTTGGCTGAAATCCCATCTCTACATCATCAACATTGTTTCTCGTCAACAGCTTCAATATCAGAAGAAAACGACGTTTCGATCGAATCGAGTCTTGTAAGTGCAGTTTTTATATGTCATGTCGTTGCTAGCTTCGCTCGTTGTCAGTGGTCAATTGTCAGCCACAACAGGTGTCATGATACAGTTGTATCGTCATTGACCAACGATATTCCTCATGAGCATTTTAGAAGATCGCAAGGCCTTTTCTAGATTCGCCTGATCTGAGGATTCTAGCAGCCAAATACTATAGATCTGCTCTCGGATTGGATCATTCTATTTCTGCTGAATTAAAGATGCACTACCCAAGCCCTCATGGTCCTGTCAGGACAAACATTTCTTAAATCTCACACCCCTCTCAAGAGGCCAGAGGCAAAAGAAAACACTCAAAACATGAATCGCCTCATAAACCATTTCCCCTCTTCCCATTCTTGCTTACGCGCGGATCTGTAACTAACACCTGACGAAATCCCCCAGCTTCCAATCGACTAGCGGCGCCTCTCGATCAAATTCACCCCGTCTCATTGGGGGGAAACCACGCATCCATCACACCCGCCTACCCAACACCTACCCCATATTCTCCTTCCCCCGTCGCATCGTCGGTTTTCCTCTCGGACGCCGCACATCAACCGAAAACCTATCCTCGGTTGAAGTTTAGAAGGTGCAAAACCGCACCCCAAGCACCTTCCTGAACCCGACCTCCGACCTCCACTTCCGACCCCAAACCAACCGCTTGCCCGTCCGTGTTGCAGTTACACCCCGCGCTGGGCACTTGCACTTGCAGTTTGTAACGACTAGCGACTCAAGGAAAGTCCCAAGTCGAGCCAAACTTCCGGCGACGATTCCCGAGTCCAGTTCCCGTACCTGGCTGCCTTACCGTACCCAGACCCTTTTTATACCTCTTTTATAAACTCCCAACTTCTTCCTCTTCTTTTTTTTTCGCCCATCATGCCCGCCGCTGTCTTCGCCTCTTCCGTTCAGCGATCTCTTCTCTCGTCTTCGCTGCGCCGTGTAGCTGTTAGTTCATCCGCCGTCCGCCCTCTCCGAGCTTCCTTCGGTGCTATCCAAACTATCTCTCCCTTCGCCGTCCGCACAATGGCTTCCCACCAGAAGATCAAGGTCAAGAACCCCGTCGTCGAGCTCGACGGTGATGAGATGACCCGCATCATCTGGCAGGTCATCAAGGATAAGCTCATCCTTCCCTACCTCGACATCGACCTGAAGTACTATGACCTTGGTCTTGAGTACCGTGATGAGACCAACGACCAGGTCACCATCGATGCCGCCGAGGCTATCAAGAAGTACTCCGTCGGTGTCAAGTGTGCAACCATCACCCCCGATGAGGCTCGTGTCGAGGAGTTCAAGCTGAAGCAGAGTAAGTTCATTCCCATTCCGACCCTGTCTTAGTTCGCGTTGCGCCTCGATGTTCACCCCGCCAATCGCAACCCCGCATACATGAGGCATGCAGGAAAAGCAACATGAGGGGAAGCAAGCAAGCAGCAAAAGCGAATGAAACCTGCAGTAGTCAGCTTAACAAAATTGAACTCGGCTAACTTGCATGTCCAGTGTGGCTTTCCCCCAACGGAACCATCCGAAATGCCCTTGGTGGTACCGTCTTCCGTGAGCCCATTGTCATCCCCCGCATTCCCCGTCTTGTTCCTGGCTGGAAGAAGCCCATCATCATTGGCCGTCACGCCTTTGGTGACCAGTACCGCGCCAAGGACGCTGTCCTACCCGGCCCTGGTAAGCTCTCCATGGTTTACACCCCCGAGGGTGGCCAGCCTCAAGAGATTGAGGTCTTCCAGTTCAAGAACGGCGGCGGCGTCGCTCAGACCCAGTACAACACCGACGAGTCCATCACCGGTTTCGCTCATGCATCCTTCAAGCTGGCTCTTGACAAGGAGCTCCCCCTCTACATGAGCACCAAGAACACCATCCTCAAGAAGTACGATGGCCGATTCAAGGATATCTTCCAGGAGATCTACGAGTCCACCTACAAGAAGGACTTTGAGGCCAAGAAGATCTGGTACGAGCACCGTCTCATTGACGACATGGTCGCCCAGATGATCAAGAGCTCCGGCGGCTACATCATGGCCCTCAAGAGTAAGTCCATCCTTGTGGTCTGAACACTTGTTCAGGCTCTTTCTACTTGAAACGCATGAGACCTAACATCTACAGACTACGACGGTGATGTCCAGTCCGACATTGTCGCTCAAGGCTTCGGCTCTCTTGGTCTCATGACCTCCGTTCTCATCACCCCTGATGGCAAGACTTTCGAGTCTGAGGCTGCCCACGGTACTGTCACTCGCCACTACCGTGAGCACCAGAAGGGCAACGAGACCTCCACCAATCCCATTGCCTCCATCTTCGCCTGGACCCGTGGTCTCGTCCAGCGTGGCAAGCTCGACGACACCCCTGAGGTTGTCGCCTTTGCTGAGAGCCTTGAGCAGGCTTGCATTGACACTGTCGATATTGACGGTATCATGACCAAGGATCTTGCCCTTGCCACTGGCAAGTCTGAGCGCAAGGACTATGTTACCACCAACGAGTACATGGATGCCGTTGAGCGCCGCCTCAAGCGAACTCTCAAGGAGAAGCTGTAAATGCATTGTCATCTGCCGTTTTTCGCAGCCTCCCTTTAGCATCTAATTCCGCTTCCACCTTTCTGGCCTCTTATGCCTCCGCAAAGAGTAGCCACTATTTCATGAACTCTTAAACAATCGGCGTCGAATATGTTGTCACAACTTGAATAGCATCTCACAGTCTTGAGAACCACAAGAGCGTCACCTCTTGCGATCTCTTGGCCACTCACTTCCTCAACAGAAAGGAAGTTGACATCGTCAAGAGCAACCATGAACCGGAACCTTCTGCACAGGCACACGCAGTTGGCTAACGACTTATGAAAAAGCATTCCTCCATCGTCATTGTGGTTGGAAAGGATGTTGGGTTTTCTGAATATGTAAAAGCAAAGATTTGAAGAGGAGACAGCATGTATCATGCGACCGAGTATTGGAAAGCAGATGCCATGTAGAAAGCAAGCTTGTTCTTAGCATATAGACAAGATGGGATACCCAGCTTTATAGTTTTCTTCACCTAGATCTTCCCTGGCCTTTCGCATTGTGACCACTCGTTCCCCATAGTGCATTCCTCCTAGTGCTTCTTTAGTCGCGGGTCAATGGGTGATAGAGTCATAAGATGTGCTCAAATTGAGCTTAAAGCAAATCTATTGGACCTTGAAACATGTCCCTGGACCTCTTCTCACATGTACGATACATCAATGCACAGCTGCTCTTGGTAGATGCCGCTTCAGACGCCTCTTTTTGTCATACTGCTTGCTGTCAAACCTCGGTAGTTGTCCGTAGCTAGCGTAACCGACACCCAATCTCCAAAATAATTCCCTGTTTCAGAAAAGCAACAATAACAACCAACTCCCTATTTCCCATTTTCCCCCGTTCCAAAGAAAACAGATGTGCGTGTTCCTAGCTTCAGCGTCTGTATGCAGCCCCGTGGCGGGGACTGCCTCGGCTTAAGCCCGCACGTGTATATAAAAATATGAAAAGGATCGCATAAAAGGCTGACATCAAAGACTGACAAGTACAGAGGATAAACACACCCGTAGACCCGGGTTGACCCGATCGAGATGGCCTCGGTTGGCCGGAAGGAAACCCGCGGTTGTTGAAGCATGCTATTCTGATGCCGGGGATTTCGCATCCATACGGATTCTGTCCGTAGGGTTCCGTTCTTCGATTTCGATATGTAGTAATACAATTTTGCAAGTTTTGACCATACAGTCGAGAGCGGTTACTCTCGCTCTAAGAACAGCGCCTCTCGTTGCAAGGTTGCATGTCTGAATACAGACGTATCTGATCAGCCCTATGCCGGGCCTATTCAGCAGAAGCTAGAGGAGCCTCCTTATCTTTCTTGGACTTGCGTGCGCTTGGTGTGCCTTCTGCTGCTTCGCTCTTACGCTTCTTCTTCGTTGGCCTCGTCGATGAACCACGGGGCTTGTATCCCGTGTCGTCTTCTGCATTTCTCTTGCGCTTACCCCTGACAGCAGGTGTTGATGCAAGCTCCTGGTCCTCGTCCATGCTGGCGTCCACATCGCGATCCGCGGCTGCTGCTGAGCGAGCTGCAGCACTGACACGCTTGCCCCTTGTGCTGGCTCTTCCACCGCGCTCACCTCGTGATCCACGCGTCTTGCGCCCGCCGGTATGGCCACCTTCAGCATCGTCTGCGTCTCCATGTGCTTCTCCGTCCTGGAGGAAAATCTTAGGGGCATGTTTACGCAGCCAATTTGTCACACTTGTAGGATTCTTAAGATGTGGGTGTGACTGATGATGGTTGCCAGGATGAGCGCGGGGAGCGAGTGTAGGGAGCATATTCTCAGGGTCGAGGGCCATATCGATTTCGTAGATGTGATTGTCGATGTCATCGGCAGATAAGAAATCGGCGGGATAGGTTTCGCCATCGACAGCCTTAAGGTCGCTGACGGTTTGCGGTAATGTCTCCTTGGCGCTGGTGTATGAAGAATGCGGTACACTCTTGACGAGGTCTTCAAGCTTCTTCTTGGGTGTGTCTTTATGTAGCTCATGTTCCTCATCCAGGGGATGGACAAGCGCATCGGCTTGGGATGGGGGCTCGAGGGATACATCGACTTGTTTCTCGGGAGGAATTTGGGGAGAATTGTTGATTTCGAGTAATAGATCCAATAAGCGGCTATTGATAGCAGGTCAGTATCGTGTCTGCCGGTAAACAGTTGATGAACTGGAGATAGCCTACTCATTCTCTACAGCCAAGCGCTTGACCAATGCAGCAGCCTTGTCTTCTTGCTTGTGCAACTCCTCGCCATCATGCATCTTGTGATCGAACACGATGCGCATCTTTCTATACTTCTTCTTCCATGATTTGTATCCAGCGCGATGACGAGTGGCGCCCTCTGTTTTCACGGGGGACTCGTCCATTGCGAGGGAGGCTATGATGGACGCGCGATCGGGCGAGAGATATCGTCAATGAAACGCGCTGAGGGTTTGCGAATATAATCGAGATACGAAATGATCAATCGCGTGGTGTTTGTTGATGATACGAGTTGGCGATGTTTGTCGATGCTGAAGGAAACAATGGGACAAGTAGAGAGTGGCAGGGTTTTGCCAATAAGAATTGATGTTTTGGCGTATTCAGTTCTGTTCAGGGCCAGGCCAGGCCAAACCAAACCAGGCTGTGACGGGACCTACGGGTCTCTTCCATTCAGGTGGTGTTGTTCTCACATTAGATCGGTACGTACCTTACAGTAGCTCAGGCACCCTTGGCGGTTAGGTTGCCCCAGATCAGCTTCACAAGCACGGTTCTAAAATGTCCCGCGTACCGACTCGGAGAGGCTTAGGGTAGCACGCGACAGTAAAATGCAAACTTGGGGATGTCATAAGAGGTGTGAGATTGATAGATGAAGGAATATGATTGTAGTAAATTTCTGTATGTGACTGCTTGTTTTCTTTGGCTACTCATCATTATTCTGAGCAGCACACATAGATTCAGTTACAAGGTACTAAGTGAATCATGTACACACCAACAGCATACCATCTCAATGTCGGCGAGTTGTTCGAGCGTGTGTTGCAAAAAATAGTTTGGAGCCAAGTTGAAAAGCCTTTATTGTGCCTTTATGACCTGAAAATCTCATTATCTATTCTTCAAAGCCAAAGCATCATGGTGATAACTCCTTTCCCAGTGTGTCTAGTTCCTCCTTAATGAACTCGGCAGCATTCATCATCTCCGTGCTTCCATATACGACCCTCTTCTTAGCCCTGTCGCCTCCTGCTCGACTCACCCACTCCTGCAAGTTACCATATTCATCTATGCTGCCACCGCCAATTGTGAAAACGACAGCTTCACTGAATCCTTGTCTTCTTTGACCAAAGCTGGCTGTCTGTCCGGACACTTGGGAACCAGGCATGCCACCTGGAGTAGCTCCAGCCCCAGACCGCATGGCACTTGGTGCAGGCATGCTACCTCGAGCATTGGCGGATCTAGGATCGTAGTACTTGTAGTCCTCTGTCTTGGCGATAGCTGAAGAGGAGGCTGACGAGGGGTCCATGATCGATTCGACGATCTTCGTAACTGTAAAATCGCGATCGGCAGGGAGGAAGTTTTTCACACCGCTGATGAGACTCTCAAAGTTTGATGACAGACCAGTGGGCACTCCTGATTCTTTAAGTCGGTCGGTGAGACGAGACGACATAGATGAGAAGCGACCGAAGAGATCTGAAGTTTGAGCAGGCTGAGCAGTGCTGTTGATGGTAGTGAGTTGTGTCATCTTGGTTGTAGCGCGAACCCTGTCCTGGTCAGTATGCGTAAGACAAATCAATGCTTTTAAAGAACTTACTGTCGAACGTAGGGCAAACATGACACATCCGCGCCAGCTTCTGAGAGGGCCTTTCCGAAACCCTCGAATTCTTGTCGGCTCACTTCTTGTTCTGTACTCAAGTACCAGATGATGAACAATCGCAGCTTATCAACGGGTTCAGAACCTTTGGTACTGTCACTAATGATTTCCATAATCTGAGGTTTGGTCTGCTTCACAACATTCTCCTCCAGTTGGAAATAGTTGTCAAGCTGGCGATCCTTGATTCCTGTCAACAAAGCCGCCAGGATGTTCATATGCATGTCGAGAATGCCTTTACGCTCTCTCATTTCTGGAAGCAACGTTATTGCCTCTTTGAGATGCTGAGCGCTCGCGCTAGTATCGGCCTGCAAGTCCTCGAAATTTGTAACACCAGTCCTTTTCGTAATCGCAGCTGTTTCTTCTTTGTATTTGGTCAATTCGGCATCGATATCCTCCGCTACTTGAGGGAAAGGACTGCCAGCATTTTTGGCCCAGAAGAAGTCGTTCGTAGTCAAATCATAACCCTTCTTCGTGGGGCCTTTGGAAGGGTTCCCTTCTTCCGCAGGGCTTTCGATGGTGATGCGATTGAGCTTCATGTTGAGAACATCATGAACCAGACTTTGATATGTCCAAGAATGAGAGAGCATTGGTACCAAATCAACGTTTCGATCGAGAAGAATGAGTACGGGTCGAGAAGAGTGAGTACTGGATGCAGCGTTCGTTCGCGGTCCAGAGAAGAGGTTGTCCTTCGAGTTGAGGATATGGTCTCGGAGTTTTCGGTCGAGTCGCGCGGCGACCATATCTGCAGCACCGTCTTTGGGGCATCGGATAATAGGAATGACTCCTGTAAGATTTATCAGCATGTCGGGTTGAATACAGAATGTCTGGCATACCCATAGTAGCAATCACACTGAATAGACCACTAACGATCTTATCCACTACGCGATCAAGCTCCTCGTCGCTGGTGTTTGCACTGTTCAATGCCCAATACGTATGCTCTTTTTGCATGCCCAGACTGAATAGATCTGGTTCAGCGACAATGAAATTTAAGTATTGGTCAAAAAGCTGAGCAATATGTTCGGATGTTCCAGCAGCAGCAGTTTGTGTAGCGAACTCCTCGAGAAGGACACGAGGGAGGGAGGATAGGAAGTTGATGTAAGCGGGAGTGTAAAGCCCCTTCTGCAAGTCGGATGTAATGGCTTGGAGGTTTTGCGCATTCGGTTCGAG